TTGTGAAATACAGCAGGGTTGCCATCAAACAAGGACTGCTCATTGTTTGAGAAGTATGTGAAGCCAAACGTATTTTGTTTAATAAAGAATTCTTTTGCTTAGCTATGATAGGCCATTGTGATAATGTAGTTTAGGGCCTACTATAAGCAGTACAATTGAACGTCAAGTGATTAATAACGTACAAGATCTTGCTATGATCTGATAGTTTAAGCCAAGCAAACACATTACCTCGATGAAGTGGACACACTTGATGATGTTGATATTGACGATGATGTCGACACAGAACTTGAAGTTGACACACTAACAGGAAAGAAAAACCATTATTTACAGAAATTAAATGATGTGCAAATTACCTGTACTTAGCTTTTTGAAGTGTACTGAGCTTTTTAAGGCCTGCGAGGAAAAAAAAGCATTTTGTCTATATAGTTTGTGGTGTTTAGTTCTGTTTGTGAGCTTTTACCTATCGTAAACTATTGTAAAGGGAGACATGAAAACAAATACTTATTGCTAACAATGTCATCTATCGACTTTTACATACCTAGACGTAGTAATTTGAATGCTATCATATAGTACATGATTGAGGCTGTTTCATTTTGTTACAACTCATTAAAAGACAAACTTTATGTTTTAATTTAGCTGTGACCATGAAAGCGTTTGCTTTGCTAGCATATTATGCGACAGATCTCGCAATAGTGGTCATTAACTTAAGGTGATATTACTTATAGACTGGCGTTTTATTTAAGCAACCACATTCTTCACTACATGTACCTTGATGAAGTTGAGACACTCGATGACGTCGATAGCGATGACGATGTTGAAACAGAACTTGATGTTGACACACTAGAACCGAAGAGGAGGTCATTAACACTGGGCACAGATTAAGATCTTCTAAAAACTAGTTTTATCGATGAGCACAGCAATCTTCGTCAGTAAAAAAGACACTGATAGCGAGTTAACTGGAACAAGTACATTCTTAACAACCTCAAAGATATTGACACACTGGATGATTCTGACACCCAAGATAATGTAGAGTATGAACTTGAACTGGACACAATTAAGGGAAACAAATTGACTAATATATATATTAACCTAATTATATTTTGTACAACTCTGTAAAACGAAAGAGAGTATGTAGACGTGGGCTGGTGAAAGGTTAAATTGCAAAATGTCTTTGCAACGTCACAACATTGATGTAAAACGCTTCAGTAGTCTGCAGGACTTTGCTCGCTGAAATTGACAACGCTGATGCACCAATCGTTACTTTCGTCGGGGAAAATATTTTCTACATCTTAAATTGAATTGTATTAGATTTTCGGCAACTCTCTGCACTGCTTGCCACGATACTAAATGTAATGGGTGAACATCAAAACAAATTAGCCATATGTTTTCCTTTATTTCTTTCAACCACCTCCATAAACCACATCCTTTATTACCTTATTGTAGTTGGTGTTGAAACACTTGATGACGACGAAGCTGAAGACGATGACGACACAGAACTTGAAGTTGTAACGCTGAAAGCAAAGAGATCTATTATTACTTGAGAGCTAAAATCATTGAAAATACATCTCTATAAGGTTTTTTTATGAACTCTAGCTCAAGCAGCATTTTTATAAATAAAATTCGAAAAAATACTATTTTGCGTCCATTGCAAGCCAACATCTGTACCTACAGGCATTGCAGCGTAACTTAATTGAAAGCTTTTAACTAAGCACACACTTGAGGAAACATGCGGATGAATATAAACAGCGTAGTTAAAATTGTGCAATTTTCTTTAAACTAACTTGTAAATTAGTGTAGAGTGCGTTCTTCTTTTATGGGAGTACTTTTTCGTTATGTGCTCGCTTAATCAATGGCTTGAATCAGGACTTTTTATAACTTGTAAATTAGATTCGATTTGAAAAAAGATGGCATATTGTAAATTAGAAAACTAATTAACTAAGAAAAGGAGAAAAAATATTCTTCAGGCAGTAACAAAGACAAGCAATGTCGTGAACACACACACTAAAGCAAAAACATAACATTAATACTCCAAACTCCCCATTTATGTATCAAAGAGCAATATATTTCGTTACCTTGATGAGATTGACGACGACGTCGTAATAGTTGAAGAACTGGAGGGACGAAGTTGGTGTAAATTGAAAGTAAGCAATTAAAAGTAGATGAGACAGATCGTGCCATTAGTATATATAACAGGACTAAATGCTGTTCCATATTATGTGAACTATGTATACAGTAAAACCCGCACAATAAGAACCTAGAATTTTCGAGGTCAGGCTGAACAAGTTTTATATTTTAGGGTAGCTTTTTAAAATTCAGGCTGATCAGGTTCTTTAGAGGTTCGTATTTATTTCATAAAATATTTAAATTTTCAATCGTCTATATTGCACTGCAGCTTTATGGAAATTAAACATATTTCTAGTGAAAACCTCCAAAAATGTATATCAAAGAAACCATTTTTGTCAGAAGTTTCTCACACATTTAAAATTCAGAATTTAGACAGTCAAGATTGAAGTGATATTTTTGTAGAAGAACCTATTTTTCTTTGCCAGGCTGAACAGGTTCTTATATTTTTGGGTATTTAAATGCCCAATTTCAGCCTGGAGGTTCTTAGATCAGTAGTTTCTTATATGAGGATTTTTACTGCAGTCTTGTATAGTAAAGTATTGTTAGTGGTGTAGGTAATCCGTACTGAAAATAATGTAAATAGCTAAGTGTATTGCAAATAAATAAAACGAAAGAAAGGAAGAAGTAAAAAATAAAAAAAGTATCACCAACCTTGTGCTTGACATAGATGAGGTAGTGGCTGTTGTGGAGGTGCAAGGTACGTTACACTCACTCGTCTGGTTAACACATTTCTTTCCATTGAAGTAAGATCCAGCCGGACAAGAGCAACCTTCTACGCGGGTACCGCGACAGCACCTCTCGTCATTCGCAGCGCATTTTCCTTCATGCTCACAAGTTGAAGGGATAGTAATGTTTGCCTCGTACCCACCGCTGTTTGCACATGGTCGGCAGCAAGGAATTTCTGTTGAAATTTCACCGCAGAATTAGTTCGGGCATGAGTTCTGGGTGAAACAATCTTTCGCAGGCGGTCTGGTGTAACATTTTTGCCAGACGCAGACATAACGATACAGACTTAAAATACCAACAAAATTGATATACTGGTGCTTCATATAATTCAAACGTGTCATTAAATGGTTGCAAAATTTAAAAATTTCCTAGCTCAACCCGTTTTCTCGTAGTTACAATGAGGGTTAAGGTTTATTCTGATTGTTAACAGCGCAAACAAGGTTTGACCCACAGTAGTTTCGATACTTGGCAGGGCTATTTCGTCCCGGTCCTTGGCCACTTTTCTGGTATCTCCTAACTGAAAATGTCGTCACCCATAGCCCATGAGGCGAAGCCGAATGGGCTATTGAACCGTGGCCCTTGAGGGCGAAGGGTCTAATTGTTTTAGTATCACCCAACTAGTCGGACAG